TTATTATTATTATTATTATTATTATTATTATTATTATTATTATTATTATTATTATTATTATTATTATTACCATCGTCAGTCGTAGTTAAAAAAAAGTAGTAATACTATTACCAGGATTGCTATTATCACCATTACTCTTGCAACAACAAAACAAGCACATTCGCGACATACAATCAGTTCTCCCAGGTAACGATTTGCCCAAAATTCGGGAAGGTATACTTCCTGTTACAGAGTAATGATCGCAGTACCATGATCGCTCGCCGTAGAATGTATGTACATACATCGTGTTCAAAAGCACGTCGTGGGCCGCATTAATTTTGCTCTATAAGTATCGTACTCTACTCTCTTTGTGTTCGTTAATACATATATATATGTATATAACGAATATATATATATATATATATATATATAAACAAAAAACCGTTCACGTATGAGTGCTTCCAGCAGTTACTCTTCAAAGATAATTCTTGTACTTATATTTTTTGTTCTTATTTATCTGTAGAAAGTATATTTATCCTTTTTAACAATAAATTATTCTTTTCACCCTTTGCGTTAGGCCCCTTTTTTCCTTTTTTCATCCCTCTTTAATCAATCCGACCGTTTTCCCAGCATTCTTCGGATGCTCTTGTACAATCTTTTATCCAATAATCTTCCAAATTCTTAAATTCGTCCAGAATTTTCTTTTGTGGGAGGGATTATTTTTTGTTTTTATTATTATTATTATTATTATTATTATTGTTGTTGTTGTCGTTGTTATTATTATTATTTATAATCCGTCCATGTTATATTTCCACGGTAAGTGACGAATTTTGTGTTATAATTGGCTTGCTATCATTTTTCGCTATATGCTTTCGTTTCAGATATTCAAAAATCATGTGTTTGTTCTTTTTCTTAATAATTTCTCTTTCTTTCTTTCTTTCTCTCTCTTTCTCTGTCTTGCTTTCGTTTTTATTCTAACATAAAAGAAAAAAAATATAATGTGCTCGCTCATTCTTATACGAATAAACTTTAAGTGTATGAGAAGAAAAAGAAAAATAATACGACACAAAAGTTAAGAAACAAAAAGAAAAATTATTGATTACGTGAAACAAAATAGAATTTTTTCTCTCTCTCTCTCTCTCTCTCTCTCTCTCTCTCTCCCTCTTTTTGACAAGCAATCGTAGTACAACGATTCCTTTGCACATCGATCACATTTCGGTCTAGCTCTAGGTCAAGACTAGTAGACGACAGCGTGGCTCCCAAACGGAATCACGGTCAGAAGTATATTTACGTGTATATATCTATCACTGGCCTTAGTTCGCAATCTACGATAAAATACTTCAACAGTATTATAATAGCCAACCCATAAATGCTCAATGACACGAAGAAGACTGGTTGTCCCATATTCATTAACCGTAAGGTGATATAATTATTTTTTTCTTTTTTATATAACGTTCATCTAGTAAACCCGCATTGACGATAATTTAAGAACTTCAATAGTTTCCTTTCGTAACTTTMCCAGCCACTAGAATTTTATATATATATAAAGAAGAAGAAAAGAAAATTGGCAACAGCTACAGCTAAATTGCAGATGTCTGTAATTGCTTCTTTTATAGTATATCTTCCGTGTGATCTTCATAAAAGCGACCCATATCCGTAGCATGCCACACAACTGGCGCACTTCCCTATGTAAATTCCTATATTTATTACGTAAAACTTTTCTCTCGTGCAAATCGATTTCATATAAAAATTTCATTCGCACGCGTGTAGAACGCGCGTCCAACACTTGTAACGATTCCATACGACCTTGTCAATATCAATTTTTTTTTTAAACTCTACACTGTTGTAGGGGTCCATTAGGACCACTTATATACTGTGCAAAGCAATAAGACCCAATACTCAACCGTTTTCAAGAAAACAAAGGAAGAAGTTTCGGCCTGTGTTAAGCTCAGGACTTTTCAACCCACCGTCGCGTGTTAGGCTCAAAACTTTTCAATCCACCCCATTGCGTGTTGAACTCAAAACTTTTCAGCCCCTCTTGTGTTAGGTTCAATACTTTTCAATCCACTCTCGGTGTTAGACTAAAAACTTTTCATCTCACTGTCGTGTGTTAGGCTGAATATTTTTTAATCCATCCCTCTTTATTATTATACTAGTATATAATAATGAATGTGAAACTTCTCCTTTAGTTTTCTTAGAAACGATTGAGTATTACATCTTATTGCTTGAACTATATATCTATGGTTCTAATGGAGCCCTACAACAGTATAGAGTTTTTAAGAAGTCAGTGTTTTGAAGGTTTAATGGAATCCTTGTGTTAATCGCTTTCTTATAATTATTTAAATAATAAATCCAATTTTTTCTAAAATCGCGTATTTACGCGCATGCCGCTTCTGATCGTGTTCTTCTTCTTCTTGTTTCTTTACTTTTATATAATAATAATAATCGGTATTAATTATACAGCTCGCTTGGACTAATAAACGCGATAATTCCGTAATAACGATCTAGCATATCATTCATATAATATAAAATAATGATTAAATAACGAGTTAAATAGCATTATGGGAATAGGAAGTGAGATATAACAGATAAAAATATTCGCTTCTTCTAAGAGAGTGACCTTGTGCCTGTCTCTATTTTTTTTTTCTTTTCTTTCAATAAAATCGATTAGATTCGGGACAGGGTGACATGGTCGAGATGACGATGACATCGGCTGTACCGCGAAACAAACCAAGCCCCGGGTCAACGACTCTAGAGGATGTCCTTGATTCCCTTCTGGGTCTGCCACCTGCGTCGCGTACACCTAGTCCTGGACCAGGTCCTGTAGTTAGCTCTACGACTTCGGCGTCCATGCGTCATCGATCAAACATTGGTCAAACTAATGCTAAAGCCGGGAAAAGCTGCAGCGACCTACGTCAAGACCTCCAAGGTAGGAGGACTATGTAAGTTTACGTTTTGACGCACAACAAAATTTCTATTGAGGTCTAATACCGTGTATGTATATCTGTACATACGCAGGTTGTATCACTTGACGTAATCATCAAAATATACATATGTAGAACTCCTTTATCAAAAAGATACACGATCAAATGATTACTTCTAAATGACGAATCTTTATAATACGAACCGAAGTAATGCTTAACGCTTTAATACGATAATGGTGCAAGATGGAGCCAACGCAATTTAATACGAAAGCGAATTTACAAGAGAGTCAACACGAACGATCGAAACGGGCACTTTTTAAATGTCCGAAGATATAATAAAAAGAGAGGAGATGTTTAAAAAAAAAAAATCAAAAAATAATAATAATAATAATAATAATTAAAGTACAATTATAAATATCTTATTAACGATACAAAGTGCGCAGTGGCAATCACTACGAAGTTCGAAGTAGAAACCAATGTGTAAAAATCTTCGATGAATATCAAAAGAGAAAAGATTTCTGGGATCGAGTATCAACGGGACAATCGTTTATCATCACGTCACGACGGACTGGAGTATCCTCTATCTGTAAAAGATTATTTTATTAAAGCATTATGAATTAAAATTGTATTTTTAAATGAAAGATGTGTGTGTGTGTTTCGATCGAACGGAAAACAAAGTGATATAGATATATTAAACGTTCAAACACCTGTATATGTATAATTGTTACAATTATAAGCTTGATTTAGTAATAGCGTAGGGAGTATTGATAATTTTACAAAATCGATTTACCTAATGAACATAATAATTTATGTAGTTAATTCAATTGATAGAATAAATAAATATTTATGAATGCACGAATTACATTGAGATAGCTATTAACGGTAAATAATTTATTTTGCATGATTAAAACCAACGTTTTAATTTGAATTATTACACCATAACCTGTTAGAAAGAAGTATGTTCGCAACAGTATACAGTTCCTGGTAGAAGTAAAGTCTGTTGGAATCACAAGGACACCACCAATTACACATCTTCCTTGTGTTAATTATTCCTGTCTATTACCTATCTCATCCTAAAAATCAGTGAGAAATATGTTCTTAGGTAAAAATAATAGAATTGTATTAGAAAACAGACAAATAAGATGTCCTTCCTTCTCCACAGCTTATTGTTATCCCATCTTGCCTTTTATCGCTTAAATTCAAAATTTTATCTTACTCTGACGATGTCGAAAATTAATGAAATGTCGCAGAGTCCGTTAGAAGCACGCTCGAGCTACAGGAATCGTACGAGGATCAACATGGCTCGTGTGACGCAGTAAAGCTGACAAGACGAAAGAGCGATGGGAGCGACCTGATATCTTCAAAAACTGCATCAGCTTCCTTACAGTCAAAATCTGCTGGTCAGCAGCGTCGACGACGGGTCTCCTTCGATAATGCTCAACAAGAGAGAAATGGTCTGACAACGAATGCCACTGACAAGATAGTGCACTGTCGAAATAATAAATGCACTAATTCTGCCACTTTACTCGAAGCAAGAAAATCCTACAAGAGCTGCCACAACTGCACCTGCTTGTACTGCTCAAGAGAATGTAGAAGGGCTCATTGGCAGCGACATAGAAGAATCTGTTTGCATTCTCGTGCTGGTAGTCTCTGCAAAGAAGTATTATCATCAGCAAAGGAGGATCCAAGAACTTTAAGGCACATTTCCGCCTTGGCTAAACGCGGTTATGCTTCCCATGGACGTGGCGCAGTAAAATGTTTCTTTTCAAGTCCAGGCGCGGCAGAGAGATTCGTTGGAAATGGTTTTCCAGAGCTTGGCGAGCCTACTTACATCAGATGGTCAGATCTATTACCTGGTGAAATGGGTGCAGAGCTCTATGCCGAAGTAATGAGGCTTTGTAAATCCTACAACCCGGACACCAGATTGGTTCTTTATGTTGCCATTTGCGTTGTTAGCGAGGTACCAACAAGCGGTGCTGTTAAATGGGAACGGCAATTAGTATCACGGTGCGCCAAACTTCGTTTGGATTCAGCTTTTAGACAGCCAAATTTCTCTACATCACCACAAGGTAAGCAACAAACAACATCACCATGCAACATCACCAGGGAAATGGACTCGCCGGAAACGCTTGTTCTCACATCATTGCCAACTAGCACCAGCGTTAGTCAGAATGCATCTAGAAGAGCAAGAGAAATTGGCTTCACAAATATTCAAAGACAATTAAAACTTCGTGGCGTTTCCCTTAAGAGGCACTTCCCTCAAGTATATAGGAAACTTTGCTCATATGTCGATGGTTCTGTTGATAAATTCGCACCTGTAACAATTTATCCAAGAGATCAAACTTCGGGTAAAAGCTTTATGTGTATTATTATGCTTGATGCAGAGCCAGAACGACTTCGGCTACTTCCAACTGACTCTTCCAGAGTGAAAACTGTTGACATTAGCGTAGAACAGGAATAAAATCTAATACATGGAAAAAGTTAGATTGCAACCTTTCGAATCTCTTTAATTTTTCAAGATTTATCGTCCATGGGATAGAATAATGCTGTATACTCATAATGATGAGCGATTTTTCAGAACAAATGATACATTTTGTTGGAGATAAAGAATACATTGGCTATCAGTATATAGCTAATCGAATATACTTATCCGTGTTATTCGATGATTGCTGATATATACTAGATTGCTAAATTTCATATTACAAGTATGCAGTATATAGAAACTGTGATTTTACACGTTTGAAAGTTCTTACCATTTTGTCAATCACTATGAATGCATGTCGTCAAGAGCATTAAGCATTAAAGGATAATTTTGTCTCATGAAAGTAGATGTGAGAAAGTAATTAAATATACTTGAGTGAAATATATAATTAAAAGTAATAGTTATAAAAAATGTTTTATTTAATAAATAATATACACAATAGAGAATACATTTCTTTACAAATAATTATCTGTGATAGCTGACTGATTCCTGATTCCCTTCTTTATTTCTGTATGTTATTATCATTATTATTATTATTATCATTATCATTATTATTATTATTATTATTATAATTATTATTATTATTATTATTATAATTATTATTATTATTATTATTAAACAAGTCTTCCATAAACTTTATATTTTCAAATGCAATAGAGTAGCAATTAATCTACTAACTACAAAAATACCATATATAAATATAACTGTTAAAATACTATTACAGCTAATTCACACAAAGAAGTATTCTCTTAATCTAAAAATTATTTATATTATTGTGTATGTTAATATTTAAATCTTAATTTTTATTTATGTTTGTTATATATTAACATATTAAGAACATGTTTATATATCCCAATAGAGTAACTGACGATATGTACTCAGATTGGCCAACAAATTGATAATAATTTTAACTAATAATGTTAATGAAAAAAGTAAAAAAGCTTTATTTAAATTTATTACAGATGTTTTTTATATAACATGTAGTGAACCAAAGATATATGTTTAAATTATAATTAAGTTAACTCCTGTAATGAAAATTATCAGTAACTTACACATTCTTAACAACCACAGTCTTTATTAGAAAATATTTAATATATACTCCTTTTTAATATTAAAATTAACATTAATAATAAATAATAATAAATTTAATTTGAAATCATATTAGATCTCATATCTCCATATTAACACTCACACTTACTGAAATATTTGATAAAGTATTAAATACAGTACAAAGGTACCAGTATTCTAAATATTACTACTCGTGTTTATTCCATGATATAATTTCATGGCGTAAAAATAAATTGTCATTTTACTTTTCTTTCAAAACAAATTTCAGAAAGAAGTAGTAAACTCGCATTTCTTTATTTAGAAAATATTATTAACAATTTGATTTGTATATTACATTAAATCATGCACGTCTAATATAAAATTTATCAAGTCACACTTCAAACGCATACTCATAATCAGCCGAATATTTAAAACTGCTAATGAATAGTAGTAAGAATATAAATTTTTATTCTAACCTCAAATTTTAAATCGACTTGTAATAATTCGTATTATAATAGCTATTAACTCGTCAACTTATATATTGCTGATACACGTATAAATATTTAGGAGCATAGAAACGTGTAATCGCAACCAAATGTGATGGAAGTAAAAAGTGGGCAAATAATAGTACGATGAGGTTAATAAAGTAATGTCGACATATGGCCAAATTATAATTAATTAATAAATGACCAATCATAAATTTATGAACTTTTGTTTTCCCGAAATCGTAAATTTTTTGTATTTCTTTAAACCGAAGTATGCTGTGACACTTTATTTCTTTGATTGAAATTGGGCGCATCAAGTGCTCAATACCGTAACATTAGGGACCCAAAAGGGTACCATACTCTTCCCGAATCTAGGATTATAAAAACATAAATATTGTAATATGGGAATTAGCTATCCATATTTGTTCATTATAATCAAACTACTTATATTTAGAAGAATATTGTAAGAGAATCAAATAATAAAATACAAGTTATTAATGTAAGATGATTTGTTAAAGTTTTAGAATTTTGTAATAAGTATATCCGGACAATTATTCCAATATATAATCAAGAAAATTTAAATGAGAAATATAAGTAAATTTATAGAAATGAACATTCAGATTTATTCATTATTTATAATTGATTGCAATTATTGGATTGGCAAGAAAGTAATTGCCGATTTTTCCATAAAATAAAAGTGGTTTTTTTCTTACTTGGAATGAACTTTAATCTATGATGTATTTTCCATTTTGTTCGATGACCTTTTGCCATCTCTCTGACAACTTGAAAATTCCACGCTCGTAGAAAATCTGATCTTTTTCGGTCAAAAACTGAAGTAAGTACGATTTTACAGCGTCATCATTATTAAAAGTCTTACCATGGAGGGAGCTGTCCAAAGATCGAAATAAGTAATAATCCGATGGTGCAAGATCAAGGCTATATGGTGGGTGTAACATCAATTCCCAACCAATATCCATCAATTTTTTCCGAGTGGCCAAAGACGTGTGCGGCCTAGCATTGTCCTGGTGGAAAATGACACCTTTACGATTGACCAATTCTGGTCGCTTTTCCTTGACTGCTGCATTCAATTTGTCCAGTTGCCGACAGTAGACCTCCGAATTAATGGTTTGGTTCCTTGGAAGCAGCTCAAAATACACCAGACCTTTCCAATCCCACCAAATTGACAGAAAAATCTTCTTTTTTTGGATATTTGCCTTTGACGTGGTTTGCGATGACTCATTAGACGTGCACCGCGATCGTTTTCGATTGACATTGTTGTATACAATCCACTTTTCGTCTCCAGTGATGATTCTTTTTAAAAATGGATCGAATTCATTGCGTTTAAGCAAAAAATCGCAAACGTTGATACGCTGTGTCAGATGAATTTCTTTCAAATCGTGCGGAACCCAAATATCCAGCTTCTTAACGAGCCCAATACGTTTTAAATGATTCTCAATGGTTGTATGTGAAACATTTACCTTCTCTGCAATCTCCCGTGTAGTTATGTGACGATCCGCTTCGATGATGGTTTTGATTTCATCCTCATTCAGCTTAACTGGTCGACCTGAACGTTGGTCATCTTTAAGAGAAAAATCTCCAGAACGGAATTTTTCAAACCAATTTCGGCATTGTCTTTCTTTAAGGGCTTCATCACCGTAGACATCACGTATCTTTTTTGCGGCTTGCCTTGCGTTCTTTCCTTTACGGAAATAATAAAGCAAGATATTACGAAAATGTTCATTTTTGCATTCCATATTAATATTGAAATAAAGAAAGAACATTAAGATAATATCTACGCAATGATTTCATAACGTTAAGTAAGGATTACAGATAACGTATACAATAAAAAGAAAATCATAACATTAACGAGTATTATAAAAATGGGAATGAGACACCTATAATAAAAATCGGCAATTACTTTCTTGCCAACCAAATATTATTCTTAAATTAGGACCAACAAAATGTCCCTTGGCTCCTTAATAATTACTTATGTTAGATATTTCATTAGATGTTAATACAATGAAAGACATCCAAACGTATCAATTAAAAAAATTTACGATAAATTTGACATACCATGAACCGAATTAGTGTTGCTACATTGCACTGCACATATTAGTGGAGACACATAGGCAATAAACATAAAATTAAGTATTAAAAAATGTTAATTTTAACTAATCTAATTTAAACTAATTTTAAATTTCATCACATAAAAACAATTCCGTAAGCTCTTTTTAAAAAATTTTAGACTTTGTATATTGGTATTACATTTGAATCTTGACCAATCAATTTTGAATGTTTATTTCGTGTTTAGCCAATGATAGATTAGTAATAAGTACTCGTCGGGTTTTTCTTCTTCTATATACATTACTGTTCTGTGTAGTAAAACGCCGGGCAAATTAACTGTTGGTATAGGGAAATAAAAGAAACCGTTAAAAGACTTGAATATTTGTAATTCATTAAATATACTTTAATTAAAGAATTTCCAAGATAAATTTGTGATGGGTAATTATACGAGTAGATTTTTTTCACGTGGTAATGTAGAAAAACATAATGAAGAAATAACTGAAACTATGGAACAATCAAATTTGGAAAAAGAATGTAATAATTCAAGTACACATCAACAATTGTTGACAGATCCAAGATCACTTACTACTGAAATATGTAGAACGCCAATACAGGTAAGATTCTATAAAATTCATACAATAAATTTTTATAATTATATATATAATTTATATAATTGAATTTATTTTAAAATATACAATAGAAATGAATTATCTTATATTTGCTGTCACCTGTTAATAATGTTTTATTTTCGTATAAATATTTTGGTTTGTTTTGTTATAAACGATAAAAAGAATAAGTATATAAAAAATAATAAAATAAAAATCAATAGATTAATCATGCATCATCTAATAATACAAGAATGGCAGTTGATGTATTGTCAAAAAATATCCTGAAAAAACCGTATTTAGAAACTAATTTTGATTCAACGATGTCACCCTCGACATTAAATAAGTATCTCGATCCAAGATCACCAAATGTTGATCAGCCCAGAACACCAATTTCGGTAAGTTATTTAAATTTTAGCTACTATCATTATAATACATTTTAAACATTTATTGATCTGAATGAATATCTCATATATAATAAAATATATTAAATTTATTATTATTTAGGTTGATAACTTTACATCTTGCAAAAGACAAATTCTTGGGATAAAAAATAATACAGAAATATTACCATTACTTAACTTAAAACATATGGAGAGTTTAAAATATGATCCAAGATCTCCATCTACAGATTTTGATAGAACACCAATTACTGTACAAAAAACAACTAAATATTTACAAACAGAATCTGAAGAAAATGTAGGCTCATATAGTGAAACAAATGATCATCTAAGATTTATGTATTGCGAAACAATATCGTCTGATACACCTGAAATATTAGCAGTAGTGGATGAAACATGCGAAGTAATTAAATCTTTGCAATTTAATAATTCTGATAGCATAAGTGAAACTAAATTACATGTAAGTGATAATACTAATCATATGAGTAACGAAAATGTCAATAATGATAGTACTTATAGTATGACAAACTTACAAAATAGAGATCTTGCTAGTATAAATACGATTAAAATATGGAGTGACTCAGAGTTATCTGAAAATTTAGAGCAGCCTGAGATTAATGAATATAGTGATCAAGAAAATGATGAAGAAAAATTGTCATATCCATCTAAAGAAGAAATTGAAGTTATATTTGATGATGATGATGTAATAAAAAGAAATAAATCAAAACCTGAACAACTTACAATTAGAACTGAAGATGAAAATAAAGATGTACAAGATACATTAGATAATAAAAAAAAAGTAAAAACAAATAAAAAAACTTTTATACAACATAATACAAATATAAATAAAATGTCAAAGGTATTCAATTATATATTATATGCAAATATAAATAATACTTCGTATGGTAACAACATTCATTTAATTTTTATTCTTGTTTCTTTTGTTGTTTTTAGAAACGAACACCTCTTGGGAATAGGTGTAATAATGCTCAATTAGATACAGTATTGACTAATTCCCCTCCAAATATGTTACAAAACAAAAATTGCAATAATTTGATACAATATGAAAATACACTACTTCATAAGAAATCTTATGATAAGTCAAAACATAATGGAATTAAATGGGATGTTAATTCTACAGTTATTATTTAAATAATTATTTATAAATATAAAATAAATTGTGTAATCAATATTGATTAATGAAATTGTCAAACCTTTTGTACTATTAGCAAATGAATATATTTATTTATCATATTATTGTTTTCTTTAAATTAGGACTTAGGATTTTTATCACTATGCTTTTGTAAAGCCGATCGTATTTGAAATTTAACTGTTTGTATTGAATTTTGAAGATCTTGACTTGGTTTTATTAACTGTTTAATACTGAAAAATTAATATGTATTAATCTTACTGATATATTTTAAACAATATAAATTTGTAAATAAATTTCTATCTGTATTCGTATATGAATGTAAATTATGTTCAACAAATACACTACCTTGAATTTTTTAAAATAATTCTTTTTTTAATCGCATCATTATCCGGTACTTTTTTAATAACAATAGTATTTCTGTCTGTCTTATTTGTGTTATTAGATACGTTTTTATCTTTAATATTAGATTTTAAAATAGTGCTAGTATCTATAATTGATGGCCTAATTACTTTAACTTTAAAATTATCTCTAATAGATCGTCCTTTGTAATTTTTTATTTTTTTACATTTATCATAATTTTTTATTCCTGTTAATGAATGTCCTGCACCACTTATATTTCCAGTATCTACTATTTCAGACTGAACTGGTAGTACAGTTGTTGAAGTTGACGCTTCAGTATTATGTATATTTCTCCTTTCTGTTACTGCATTAGATTCATAGTTTAATTGTTGATCATTATAATAAAAAGGTTCATTGTAATTAGTTTGATAATTAGTTTGCTTAAATTCGTTCATAGGAAAAGACAGTGAAGTTACTGTTTGTTGTCTTTGTGATAATTCCCTAACATTATAAATAAAAAAATTTTTATAAAACATTGATTAATGATAAATAAGTTGACAATGATAACTTTTTCATACATACCTATTATGTGTAAAATCTTGTTTATTACGTTTTAATCGTACGGACACATCTTTATAACGTTGCATAAGCTTTGCTCTTGTCTCTGATATAGATTCCAATTCAGGAGCATAAAAAACATGTAGAATTCCACCGTAAAAATTCTTGCCATCAAGGAAGTGCTTTGCTATTCTGCACAGTACATTGTAAATGATGTTGAAAATTCTGTTATTATGCTATGCATAACAAAAAATTAAATTATTTAAATTAAACATAATAAAATTTTCTAAATATAAACCTTGCACTTCGTATATCTTGGTAATGTATATGATATGCTTCTGTAAATTCTTCTGAAGGATAATTAGAAACTACATGAACTTTTTTTACAGCTCCATAAGGAAAGACAAGCTTTTTTATTTCTTGTCTTAATTGCAATTGTGGTACATCACAAATCATCAAATGTTGAGATTCGTCATTAATTGTATATATCTGTTGAGTGGAGGTGATGTGTTAGAGAAAATATATGCAAAATGAAAAGATTTATTATAATATACATATATATGAACTGTGTGTTTATGATGAAAATGATCCATTTTTGAAAAAGACTGAGAAAACATAATTTTTATTAATTATAAATAAAACATCAAAATATTATGTTTTCATACAAAATATACAGTTAACATAACCTAAAAAATCACACACAAAAATTATATTGTAAAAGGATACAAATTTACGAAGCTACCTTAACAGCAGTCAACTTTTTCCCTTGTCGATAGGGTGGTCGTGTTTGACATAATTTTTCTTGTACATGATGAGAAAGTTGTGTTATAGCAGGTTCGTTTGACACAACTTTGTTTTTGTCGGCCATATTGTACCTCTAATAGTAAAACCAATATTATGCTTCGTACATATATGCATAAATAGTCAAATAATTTAAATGCTTCAAATATTATTTATGTACGCAATAATAAGTTATAATATATTATAATTATTTATAAATATTGTTCATTTAAAATGTCTTTGTATTAATTGTTATTATTATTGAATATTAACAACAAAGTAATAAAACTGTGATGTTTTTTATTAGCTTAATAAAAAATTCCCTAGATTCATGTGGTAATAATAATCTAGGAATAATCTTGTCATGTGTACAATGATTTATACAGCTGGATAAGACTGAATATATATATGTATGATCAGTCCATGACGATCATGGTGTACTACGAATGGTACCCACAAATCTTGTGATATTTGTTAAAATGAAAGTTTACCCGCGTCGAATATCGCGGTACGCGCAGTAGATTAATTTATAACATTTTCTTTATGATATTATCTTAACATTATATTAAAAACAAATCGTTACATGGCGAATTTGTTTTCTTAAATAGTATAAACGAAGACTATAACTGAAGAACTCTTTAATGCCAGTGGGCTTGAGAACGAACTGAAAGTAAATACACACTCTCTTGACATGTCATTTTTATGTTATAAATTTTCATTTTGTCAAACACATTTGTTTGTTTGCTATTCTCTTTAATTTTTGTAATCATTTTATATTGTATACAAAACAATAAAATTACACTCAAAGAGATGATGTACCAAATTGGTTTTTAATTGATACAGATAACTAAAGTTAACGTCTAATAATAAATTTATTATTTGTCTCTTATCTATAAAAATGATTTTGTATTTCTTCAAAATTTCACAGATTTGTACAACTGTATAACTTTCAACCACTTAAGTTGTAGATGTTTTGCTCACAACTATTTTTTTATACAAACTTATATTTACCTGATAATCATAAATGTATTAAGTAAGTGTATAATATATTTTTTCGATATTATCTTAATTTACTCTACTAATTTCAAAATTATTATATGCTTATTATTATTTATTTCTTAATTATATGTCTTGTACAAAAATAGTTACAGAATATCAAATAAATAAAGTGTGATAAAATAGGATTAGGTAGTATAGTTTTTCTTTTCTAATATAATATTTACTTTTAGGGAAAGGTAGTACAGTAGAAGCAGAGCTGCTGCAGGTACTTTCGATACTTGTGGTGGTCGGTGAATGGTGTTGCAGATAGACTCGGTGTGGGGCTGGGCGTCACCCCCACTGCGCCTCCAGCTAGCTGGAGGGACCAGGGGTGCCTCAGGGAGACCAGGGGCAAGTGTCCCATCCTCACAAAGGATGGGTGACATGGTTGTAGAACGTGCTACCTCTCCAGCACGTTTAAGTCATACATCGGAAAAGCATCCTCGTGCTATGCTTACTGAACTCAATGTTCTTCGTCGTCATAGAGAATTATGTGACGTTGTTCTTAACATTGGTTCTAGAAAGATATTTGCACATAGAGTCATTCTTTCTGCTTGCAGTCCTTATTTCAGGTAATTCTCCTTCTTATTCCAAATATTAAAAGCAAATAATAAAAAATATACAACACATATGTTAAATTTGTTTGTATATTATTACAGAGCTATGTTTACTGGAGAGTTAGCAGAATCTCGTCAAACTGAAGTTACAATACGTGACATAGATGAATTGGCAATGGAATTACTCATTGAATTTTGCTACACTTCACACATTATTGTCGAGGAAGCAAATGTCCAAACTCTCCTTCCAGCAGCATGCCTTCTTCAGCTAGCAGAAATTCAAGATATATGCTGTGAATTTTTAAAACGACAATTGGATCCGTCGAATTGTTTGGGTATAAGAGCTTTCGCAGATACTCATTCATGTCGAGAACTTTTACGTATTGCTGATAAATTTACTCAACATAATTTTCAAGAGGTAATTTGTGTAACTAAATTTAGCAAAGTAATAAATATTTCTTCATCTATTAATTTCAATTTGTTTAAATATTTCAATAGTATAATATTTCTCCTGTTTTTATGTAGGTAATGGAAAGTGAAGAATTTCTGTTATTACCTGTTGGACAATTAGTAGATATTATATCATCGGATGAATTAAATGTACGAACGGAAGAACAAGTTTTCAGTGCTGTAATGAATTGGGTTAAATATAATGTAACAGAAAGAAGACAACATTTAGCACAAGTTTTACAACATGTGCGACTGCCACTTTTAAGTCCAAAATTTTTAGTAGGCACTGTAGGATCAGATTTATTAGTTCGTTCAGATGATGCATGTAGAGATTTAGTTGACGAAGCAAAAAATTACTTATTATTACCACAAGAAAGACCATTAATGCAAGGACCCAGAACACGTCCTAGAAAGCCTACGAGAAGAGGCGAGGTATTATTTGCTGTTGGTGGTTGGTGTTCTGGTGATGCTATTGCAAGTGTAGAAAGATTTGACCCTAATACCGGAGATTGGAAAATGGTTGCACCAATGAGTAAACGAAGATGTGGTGTAGGAGTAGCAGTTTTAAATGAATTACTATATGCTGTTGGCGGACATGATGGACAAAGTTATTTAAATAGTATAGAGAGGTACGATCCCCAAACAAATCAATGGTCTTGTGATGTTGCACCTACAACATCTTGTAGAACGAGTGTAGGTGTTGCAGTTTTGGATGGTTATCTTTATGCAGTAGGTGGTCAAGATGGAGTACAATGTCTTAATCACGTTGAAAGGTAGATTACTTTTGTATTTTATTTACAATATCACACAGTGCAAAAATATACTGTGTTATTATTTATTATTTATAATTCATTAGATGATTTATTTAAATTTAAAAATTATTTTAGGTATGATCCTAAAGAAAATAAATGGTCAAAAGTATCGCCAATGACTACAAGAAGATTAGGAGTAGCTGTTGCTGTGCTTGGTGGTTATTTATATGCTATCGGCGGGTCCGATGGACAATCGCCTTTGAATACTGTAGAAAGATATGATCCTAGACACAATAAATGGTCTCAAGTATCTCCAATGTCCACTAGACGTAAACATTTAGGCTGTGCAGTATTTAATAATTTAATTTATGCTGTGGGAGGACGCGATGATTGTATGGAGTTATCTAGCGCAGAAAGATACAATCCTCACACAAATTCATGGAGTCCTATAGTAGCCATGACTTCGAGAAGAAGTGGAGTAAGTATATTTATCCATTTATTTTTAAGTGTATTTTATCTTAATGCTTTAAGATACCTTTACCTTATTGTTTTAATTAATTTTATTTACTCACGTTTTGAAATAGGTTGGTTTAGCAGTAGTGAATGGTCAATTGTATGCAGTAGGTGGATTTGATGGAACAGCATATCTAAAAACGATTGAAGTATACGATCCAGAACAAAATCAGTGGAAACTATGTGGTTGTATGAATTATAGACGACTTGGTGGAGGTGTGGGAGTTATGCGAGCTCCACAAACTGAAAACTATATTTGGTAGCTCAGGCTACCCTCTTCAGCCCAAACGGCTGAAACGCCAGTGACTCCTCTTACGCCGGTAACTCCTGTTACACCTGTAACTCCCCCTGCTCCAATATCGGTTCCTATTGTTATAACTAATTCTAGAAAACGGTACCGTCGTTCAATGAGCATTATATGAAAGAAACATTTGCATTTTACAAAGAGATTTTGCCTTTCTGCCGATGAAGTCTATCTCTTAAAAAAATATTTTGTATAAATATTTTGAATCATAATTTATATCAGGGACCGAAACTGATATTAAAAATATTAGTATGGAATCAATCTATACGTCTATTTGCATCGAAAAATCATTTTGTATGATACCGAAGTGTATCATATTGTTATAATAATGAGTCCATTTATAGAAATTAAAGATGCCTCAATAATACCAACATTAACATATGATGTAGCAAGATTTGTAATTATATAATAGATTAATTGAAAATCGGTTCCTGATTGAGAAAATTATTTTATTACTTATTCTAATTTAATTAATAATATATATAACATTATTATATATGGATTTACTCTGAAAGGTTATCGAGATTTTTGGGAAAAACATTTTTAAAATTTTAAATTGAACTATTTAGGAAGAAAAAATGCAAAATTATTGAAATATTGTTTTGTATTTCTAATTAATTGGTATCAATGTATTTCTTATATGAAGACTTATATTGGATTCTCTTATTTCTGCAATATAATCCAGTATTGCTTCTTGTATTTTAATTACTTCAGTGTTGCTGTCATGCCAATCCTTTGTAATAGCAACAACTGTATATATACTGGATAATGCTAATAATTTGTGCATACTATAACACATACAAATTTGATTGTTTGAAGTAATATTTAATAGATATTTTGCTTTTTAGTAGTTATTTTAAGAAACTACCAAAGTAAATGTATATTTTTATGTTCTTTTTTTTTGTATCTATGAGACTGATTGATCAATTTATGTAAATGTCAAGTTGTTAAATTGATTTTTTGTCATAGTTATATCACTCATCATTTTGTGATAAAAATGCTTAAACATTGGATGTTTACTTGAAATTTATTCACAACATGCAACTACATCATCATAAATAATATATATATATATATAATTATCTTTATATTTTATATTATACAATTTTTTTTTAATTTTATTTTTTGTGTAATTTTCAGTTATACGTAATGTGTATAGATTCATCATTTTTTATTTTTATGTTAAATTTAAAGTATCAGCTTTTAACACACGATGCCTAATACTGATTCTTTAATTTAATTAATTTAAGATATTAAGTGAAGAAAATATTTTTTATTTAAATATTAAAATTTGTATTATTTATAATCAATTACTGCCTTTTTCTTAATTGATTGAATGCTATATTATTTTATAAGTTTTCGTATAAAATTTATTTGTATTTTGACATATAATAAAACATAGATTCCAGTTTTAGAGATAAGCGCTAAATTATTAATGTGCATTAATTTCATTCTATAAAAAATACTCAAGTTTTTATTATGGATAAAAGAAGATATATTTAAACAGTGGTAAAAACATGCACAATTTAATTGAATTATATAAAGCTTCAAGCATTTATTAATACATTAGTAAATTAATCAAAAACATTTATCTTTCTTTAGATAAATTATATTTTTTTTTAAGTATAAATTTATTTATTTATCATTTTTTTTTGGTATCTATAGATATGTACGCAATGGAACTAAAATAATACATTTTATAATAAACAATACATATTGAAGTGTCTATAACACCTTTTATGTTATTAAAGTTACAAAATGCAAATTAATAGTTATCAAGCTATCAGTCTCATTAGACAAAAATTATCAGAAGTAGAGGATTTTCTTAGGAGCATATTATTGTTTTATTTTAAGTAGATAATATATCACACTACACTTTAAAAACATGTATGAATTTCAGGTGTATATAATAACAAAAACACCAAAATATAAGATCATAGAGCAACACCATTTTCAAAAAGTGAACATTTACATAGCTATATTGATGAAATTCTTTTATCAATTTTCATAAAATTACAGAAAAGGCACTATATAAAATTCTTTTATTCTAAATGCATAGAAAAGTACTATTGATGTACAAAATGGTGATAGGGATCATTAAGAAACAATTTCATATTGTAACTTATGTGATAATAATCTAATAAGAAACAGCAAATTTGGCTAAATATAAGCAATATTTTACTAATCATAACAAACGTTAATTGTTAATTTATTTATTTGAGTAAACAAATTTATAAAAAAAAAAATTCGACTATTATATAAATAAATAATTAAATAAATAATCATATGAAGGTATCCCCAAATTTTCTCTTGTTCTGTTACATATATGAGATTGTTGTGAAAAGCAGGATGCATGTCTAATATAAAAGCATTAAAATAATATAATGTAGCATTTTCTGATAAACCTATTGATATACATATTATTACATTATTCTCCGTTAATTTCTTTTTATATAATATTCTCTATGAATACATGAAAATCTGCCAGTCATAGCATATTTTTTAATTAGTTTGTAAATCAAAAAAATAAATTAATTATATAGAATGTAAGTTGTATTCGCACAAGCATTGTTTGCTATCGTGCCAGATCAAGAACACACCAATACAATTCTGTTAACAGATTTATATATTCCAAATGGTACAAATTACTATAAAATAATAAAATTATAGCTATATATATATATATGTATATATATATAGCAAAATGCTGTGTTTCTCCAAATTATAAATTGAGAAATATATATATTGTATGATTATCTGCAAAAGATATATCTAGTATAGTATACTTTTATTTGAAATGGGAAATGAATATAATTATAAATCAATATAATATTTCATGTTGATTTATATCCATTAATTCATTCATTAATTTGTAAAATTATTTTATAATACAAATTTATTTCTTCGATCATTCCATTAATATATATTTATGTTGAAAATTATATCTTACATATAGTTTGCAAAATAATGTTCACTAAGCAAGACTGGCCTAGGTTTAAGATTTTAAAAATATTAACGTACATAAAACAAACATATTTCCATTAGAAACTTTTATAGTAATTACATGCATCACAATTTGTTTATAGGAAAATTTAGAATTAACATTTATTGAAAGATGGTTTCATGAATAAATATGAGAATATGAGAATGTTAAAGGAATGTCGACTCTTCATTTCGATCATTTGAATTTTTAATATCCTATTTTTTTTCTATTACTATATACATTTATAAAAACAGTATTGTTAGTTTTAATTTATAATTAAATT